GCCTCGGACTGGTCCGGATATTACTACTGACGTTAGCTCGGTGCGCTAACCAATGCGCCACCGCTCCACCCGATGATGACAATGATGATGTTTTTTTATGTTGTGTGTGGTTTTGATCAATTGCGTCAGTGATGAGTGGGCTGTGAGTGAGTGGGTGAGTTGTGAATGGGCTGTGAGTCAGTGAGCTATGAGTGAATGGGTGAGCTGTGAATGGGTGAGCTGTGAGTGAATGGGTGAGCTGTGAATGGGTGAGCTGTGAATGGGTGAGCTGTGAGTGAATGGGTGAGCTGTGAATGGGTGAGCTGTTAATGGGTGAGCTGTGAGTGAATGGGTGAGCTGTGAATGGGTGAGCTGTGAGTGAATGGGTGAGCTGTGAATGGGTGAGCTGTGAATGGGTGAGTTGTGAGTGACTGGGTGAGCTATGAGTGAGTGGATGAGCTGTGAATGGGTGAGCTGTGAGCTGTGTGCTGCACCTTGATGGAGGTCACGATGTCTCTGATCTCTGTCAACTTGAGCATGATCTCGGGTTCCCCGCTCCCTGGCTCCATCCTCCCCGAGATGAGATGTTGGGTTCCAGGCAGGGGGGTCTCACTCTCGGTGTGAGATCTCCGCTCTTAGTACATCGTGGGGGCACTCGCCTGGGGACTGGTGGGGGATGTCTCCTTCGCCCAATCTCCCTGCGGTGGCTCCGCGGTTGTCCTCCCGCCGAAGGCCTCAAGCTCCCGAGGTGGTGCCGATGGCTGCAGCTGCCTCCAGCGCCAGACAGGACCCGCGTTTGGCTCCCTCTCCGTGTGTCGAGGCGGTCACAAGCCCCCCCCCCCCCCGCCTCCCTATCTCGCTCGCTACCAGCACGCAGGACGTACTCCACCGAGCAGAGTGCCCCAGATGAATTAAATATACATGGCCAAGTCTGTCGTGGTTGCTACTCGCTGTGCGCGCGCGCGCGAGAGCACATGCGACTCGCGGCACCTGCTACCCCCCCCTCCCCTCCTCCAAGCTCCCACCTCGTGTCCCTCGATCATCCACCGCGTGGTTGGTGGTGGTGGTGAGAGAGGGACTTGCTCTGTCTCTATCCTCGCTCTCTCTACCCGTGCTCTCTCTCTCTCGCGGCTGTGCAGGGTCGTGACCGCACGCTGTAGGAATGGGACGCTGCCGGCTCAGCCCTCCCCCCCCCCCCGTGTTTGTGTTTCGCTGTTCGGGAGCGCTCATGCGTGATGCTCCGCTTCCCTTACTCGCCATCGCATCTGAAAGGACAAAACAATCCGCCTCTTTCCCTCCCGAGTTCCACGCCGCAAACTCACACACAGACACACACGCAGACACACACAGACACACACGCAGCGCACTCACAAGCGCACACAGACGTACTACAAAGGCAAAGATCTCCCGTGTAGACTTAACAGACTGTTGGGCCAAGTGCTGTTAGCGACCACCTATGAATGCCGGGACGGTACACAAAAGGGGGTGGGTGGCCAGCACCACGCCCGACCGCCTCTGTCTCCCCAGTGGTGAAGTTTACGCACCAGGTACTCATTTGAGGCTGAGTCGACCTAGGGGAGGCCCAGGACCGGGTCAAATAATCGTCACCGGTGTTGGCCGTGAGCGGGAATTGAACTCGGATCGCCGGGTTCGTAGCGCAGTGCGCTAACCACTACCCCACCGCTCCCCACATACTACACTCACACGTGCACAGACAGGCAGGCACACACTCACACATACACTATAGACTCCTCACACCCTCGTACATGTAGACACGCGCACTCACACGCACGGACACACACGAAGACACACTACACCCACTGACACGCAGACGCGCGCACGCACACAAGACAAATATCACCCATGTCGCCTTCAACAGACTGGAGGAGCAAGGGAGTTGGTGGCCAGACCCACACCCGGCCTTCTTTGTCTTCCTAGTGGCGATATTTACACATCGCACTGGGTACAGTACTCATTTGAGGCTGATTCAACCTAGGGGAGGCCCAGAACTGGTTCAGATAATCACTGGTGTTGGCCGTGAGCGCACACACACCCAACACACACCGATATACACTCGCATACACACCGATACACATTGCACATACACACACTGAAACATATACACACGCGCAATCGCACACACAACAATACACACACTCGCACACACAACGATACACACACGCGCACACACACACGCTCACACTGTTGGAGCAAGTGCTGTTAGCTAGCACCTATTGAGGCCGGGACAGCGATCGTGTTGGCGTGGCCAGCACCACGCCCGGATGCCTTTATCCCTCCACTGCTGATATTGATACGCAGGCCCAGGTACTCGATTAAGGCTGAGCAGACCTAGGGGAAGCACGGAATAGGCGAATGAGTTTGGCCGTGGTGGGAACCGAACCCAGGTCGCTGGATTCGTAACGCGGTCCTCCAACCACAACACCACAATTTTTTAAAATACAATTAAATTAGAATGTTAAGATCTTATTTCAAACTTCTTGTATTGCTTCGATGTATTTGGCGTTCGTATCACGTGCCTACGTATGCTGCACTGTCTCACCCAGTCTCCCGAGAGAGAGAGACTGTCGGTTTCCTGCGGATTTTTTTTATTTAAAAGTTTCACCTGAATCCAGTGACCCCTTGAGACGGAGCATCTCGTTTCAAAGCGTGCCCAGAATCGAACTCGAGGTCACCGGCGTCAATAGCGCAATGCGCTAACCACTGCGTCACCGCTACCCAGATGCCGACAAAGACAAAGATCCCCCGTAAAGCCTGTAGCAGACTGTTGGGGCAAGTGCTGTTAGCGAGCACCTATGAAAGCCGGGACGGCACGCGAGTGAGTGGGTGGCCAGCACCACGCCCGCCTTTGGGGATGTTTACACACCGCGCCAGGTGCTCTTTTGAGGCTGAGTCGACCTAGGTGAGGCCCTGGACCGGTTCAGATAATCCTCACTGGTTCTAGTCCGTGAGCTGGAATCGAACTCGGTTTGGTCGGGTTCGCGAAAACCGCGAACCGCGACGCTTCCCGCTCCCCACGACGCCCAGACGCACGCACGCGGACAACGCGCTCGTGTTTGCAGTTCCCAGGAGCCGCTCTGAATCGCCCCGTGCCTCTCGCACCGTCCCCAGTCTCGTGAGTCGCGGTGGCGCAATGCGGAACATTCATTCTGCGCTGTGTGCGTCTGGCAACCACGCAGCGCCTCGCCGGGCAGGGTGCGGGGTGGGTGTGAGACGACGGGCTCTGGGCTGTGTGTGGACTAAGAGGGGGGGGGGGGCTCACGTCGCTGTTGTTCGCTGGTGTTTGTCTTTCGTGGGGGGCGGTAGGTTGAGAATTTTTTTGTTTGAAATGTTTTAAACGGACAAAGGGGCCTGAAAAATGTTGTCACCTGGGCCCCCATTTGTATCCAAGGCGCAGCTTCTGGCATTGGCAACAGCGGGGGGTGCGTGGTCGAGCATGGTGATGATATTCGTGGCTGTGTTCGATTAGCTGTGTATGATTTTAGACAATACATTAGATATCCTTATTTAACATATCGTCAATAATTATCGACTCGTGCCACAGTGGCGCTCACAGCAGCAACTCGGCCGTGCGGTGGCGCCTGCCTCCCCCGGTAAGAGGGTCAACCGGTCAGTGGTGCGGCTACGACCCGAGTTCCATTCCTGCTCACGGCCACCAACACCGCTGACGAGTCTCCGAATCGGTCCCAGGCTTCCCCTAAGTGGACTCGGCCTCAAATGAGTCCGCAGTGCGTTGTGGAAACATCGCCGCTAGGGAGACAAAGGCGGTCTGGGGTGGTTGCTGGCTACCCCACACCCTTATGTGCCGAGTCGGCCTTCATAGGTGCTACTCGCTGACATCACTTGCCCCAACAGTCTGTTAAGGCTATACGGGGGATCTTTGCCTTTGGTACGTCATTATCACGCGTTTGAATCATGACATGAATGATCCGGTGATGCTGCTGCTGAGTTGGCAGTGGTGCGCAAAGCACAGTTAACAACACAACTCGCCAATACAAAACTATATATAACAGGTGACGTTTCAAGCAATGACCCTTCTTCACAGCACATACAACAAAAATTATTTTTAAATGTATAAACTTGAATGCCACAGTGTTATGGACGAATCAATGATGGGTGTGTAGCTGAAACTTGAATTAAAACCCAGGCTCTCGGCACTGCCAGCTCGGAACTCTGACAGTCTCAGCAACCCCATCGCCTGACCACCACCTATATTCAGCCATTCACAAATGTCGTCACCCCCATGTCATTAATTGCAGTGGTTGTCTTGTCGAGGCCCCCCCACTGGCACAGAACTTCAGGTGGGTGCTGAACCATCTGCCCCTATGAGCAGGCAGAAGACGGTATTGGAGGCACTGGTACTTTGACCACACAGATTGGTGACATTGATGAATATTTGCCCAGTTGGTACATGGTCATCTGCACGAGACACTGACCCCGGTGGCTTGTGGGACCGAAGTTCAGACACAATGTGTCTGTTGCCCATTATGTAGCCCCCACGTCCTACAGGGTTCGTGTAGGTGGGCAGCATAGACATTGGCTAACAGTACATTGCAGGCTTTTGCTGCGCTGCCCTCTGCTGAGAATGAAACCCTAAGCCAAGTCCACAGGAGCGTGCAAGCATCATTAGGGGTTAAAGCATCCGTGAAATGGTGAGGGCTTCTCACGGTCTCGAGAAAATATCCAAGGCGTTCACAAACGAGCCAAGTGTGGCGGGCTCGTCAGCCCAATGGCTATGGGTGCCGGATCCTGTGTGGTGGTCCCTGTGAGATGCGTTTCATTCACACGGAACGGTATTGGAGGCACTGGTAACAGCAGACGTCAGCCCTCCCCCTCACCCCCACCACCTCCGTGCAATTTGCATAAAAACACAGCGAACCTTCATCTAAGGTCCAGGTGCAGGCAGAGTGCAGAGTCACGGCCCAGGCTTTGGAGGCAACCAAACGAAACCTTTAACACCGACGAATATGGCAGTGCTTTTCTTTCTTTTATTGAACCCCCTCCCCTCCCCACTTCTCCATACAAAGAGTACTGTGCATCTCCTACATGACGGACACATCGTCTGCTGTATCAATGTGCTACGCGTGCGTTGAGATCGATGAGATTTGGTTACTGACCACCGATGTGAATGTCCTTTGGGATGGCAGCGTGTGCTACACAACACACTGAAGAGGTTGTTTAGGACTGCTGAATGTTTTCACTCTAGAATCACTCTAGAATCAACCATAGGGGAGAAACACTGTTTTGTTTGGCCACAATAGTCATGTATCTTCTTGGTTCTTTCGGTAAAGTCACGTAGAATGGAAATAATAAAATAATAAAATAAAACATAATAAAATAATTCTCACGACGTTTCGGTCACAACGCAAGCAGCCGTCCTCAGGTGAAGAACAGGTCTGTCGAGAAGACAGTCAGAATGATTATTTTATTATGTAGTATTTTATTATTTTATTATTTCCATTCTATGTGACTTTACCGAAAGAACCAAGAAGATGAATCCCTGCAGTCACGAAAGCTTTAAATCGAAAAATAGTCATGTAATTGTTCACATTTAATTTTACATTAAATCAATTTAGAATTACAGTCAGCACTTTGTAACCGGTTAAACAAACAGCACGTTCTAATACCATTGCATAGTTTACAATGAAAGCTTGCATTATGTTTGTATCGATGTTGAGAGTGTTCCATTTCCCTTTTGCGAGACCAAAAAATGAACCGTTCATTATGGACAGTTATGAATTTTTACACCGTGAAAGTAGTATTTTTTAAAAACTTGTACATCATTGCAGTGCATGGTTCAGTTTCGCACAACACACCTGTGTATCACACATCTGTGTATCACACACTTGTGCGTCGCACACTTGTGCACCCCACACTTGCGCATCATAAAGTTCCATGCGCGCCATACGCTTGAAACGTCCAGCTCGGAGCCGTGCGGGCACACACGCTTGGCGCTAGGCGGGGTTGGTCTCAGGCTCGCAGCCCTCGGACAGCCGGGCCTGCACCAGGCGGCGCACCCTCTCCAGGATGATCTCGTTGGCGCTGCTGCAGTCGTCGGAGCCATATGGCGGCGCCACGCTCAGCGCGCCGCCGGCCACGAGCAGCTCATCGCCTCGCTCCTCCACCGGCACGTGGTTCCGCCGGAGCCACACGAGCAGCGCCTGCCGGCGCGACGCCACCTCCTCGGCACCCAACGAGGGCTGGTGGTGCGCGGCGGGCCGGAAGAGCATCGACGGGCACTCGGACGTCGCCGCCGCCGTGTCGCCCCCCGGAGGCAGAGTCTCGACCACGGAGCGCACGGCGTGGCCCATCACCGTGCACAGGGTCAGCTCGGGGCTCCCCGGCGACGGCCGGGTCACGAGCATGATGCTGCAGGGCAGGGGAGAGGTCGGTTAATCTCGTCCTTCCAGCACCCTTCAATCTGCTTGCAAAGCTGAAGTCCTTCGCATTGAGCCCTTTTCACCTCGTGCGTATGGCCCTGTTTCAAGTCTCATCGACAGTGACGTTAATCTCGGCGATGGTATCGGCTGTAAAACACCGTCCAACTCCACTTTCTTGTTGTGGCTCAAGAACCTTGGTATGGAGAGTAGTGCTGTCAGGTGAAGGGTGGGGAGCGGGACTGGTTGGGGTCGAGGGAGCTTGAGCCACGGGCTTTCCTTTGGGCACAAAACTGATTAACAGTTGGTTACTAGCCTCACTTCAGTTCCAACTTAAACAAGCAATTAATAAAAATTGTAGCCACATCGCTACGCCTTAGCACTTAGCAGTACCTCTAACTGCAACATTAATCTTAGCCCGAGTCCTCATCACAATCTTAAACCGAATTAAAAACAGAAATCCAATCACTTACTTGATCTTTCAAATTTAAATCACTCTTAGCTTAACCCTTAACCCCTAATGCTTACCTCAACACTATCGCTCAAGTCAAGGTCAAGAGTTAATCACAATCAATGCTGTTTATGCCACCATGCCTCACCATCGCTTCCTTCTCAGAGTTGTCAGAAAATCAACAACGGACCTCGATGGCCCACTCGTACGGCACCCTGCATCTTCCTTTAGGGTTGAACGGTAGCGCACGCAGTGATACGAGTTAAAAGTCCCGGCCATGGGTGTTATTTGAACCAGTCATGGGTCTACCCTTCACCATCCTATGCCAACCAGTGTGATGAAGTATGGTCAAGTAACCCCAATCCAGCAGTGGATGGACAACGTGCACAATCCTGTATATCGTGGCGGTGCCTGACGGAGCGTGTTCACACCACGCTGCAGGGTGGTCGTCGTCCCGCGCAGTCCTTCGTGTGGCGGGGGGGTGTAGAGGGGTGGTGAGCGGGACTCACCTGGCCGAGACGGGGTCCACGGTGTAGACCCAGCCCTCTAGCTGCACGCCCTCGTCCGCACACACGCGCACGTGCTTGTGCAGCAGCTCCTGCCAGCGCAGCGGGGACAGCTCGCTCCACGCCTTCGGCTCTCCCACCTCCTCCAGCCCCATCGTCGCTCCAGCCTGGTCGCCTTCTTTCACTTCCCCAACCTCAGCGTCCGTCTCCGCCACCACCTCCATTGCATTTCCCTCCGTCTCCCGCACCTCGGCGTCCGTGACCTCGCAGGCATCTTTAGTCTTCGCAGCGTCTCCCATCGTCGGCATGTCTCCCGTCTCTTCAGAATCTCTCTCCGAGGCCGCTGCGCACTCAGACCGCACCGTGGAATTCAGATTTATTAAAACTCTGCTTTGTATCGAGAAGGAGAACTGGTCGGATACGCAGCCTCCGCTCACAATCGTTGACGCTTCGCGACCGTGGAATCGCCGTGGCTGACGCCGTCAAGGTGCTGAGCACGCAAGTCGGTAACAAACGTGACATTTCAGTTTCTTGTTCATTTCTGAGTGGTCCGTTCATCACTTTGCAATTCAGTTTGTGGATCATTTGGAACGCGTGTTGTCTACCAGAATTGTCAACCGTTGTGGCTGTCATTTGGCCAGACGATGGCAGTACACTAAGGAGTTTGCTAACCTGTGAAGCAGCAACAGCAGCCTTTAGAGTGTTATACTATGACGTGCGTGGACTTTTTCTCTCCCGATTTCCTCCCATAAAAACAATCAATGGACTGTACCCAATTGAGGCCATCACAACATCCCAGTTCACAGGCCCCTCCAACACAACTGCGTCTGGAGACCCAGCGATGTCGACAAATCAACCACACGTGACGGTACTGCAATTGCCTCACTGCAATAATACACCAGACGTGGGGACTTCATCATCAAACAGTGGATAGAACATGACGAACGCCGATACGAATAAAGGAGGCCCCCTATGGGAACGGGGCTTCCTCACGGTCACAAGTTGCAAAACTGGGAACGCGGCACACACCACCACGTCACCGACGATCGGTAACAATGAACAATCATCGATGAGCAGCTGATCAACTTTAAACTTACCCAGCCCCCTCAAACCTTGAAGGGGGCGATACCGGAGCGAGTTGCTGGCAGAGACAGACGACAAGAGCGGGGGCAGCTGCCGCTACAGCGCCACTCCAGGGCGAGGCCACACATCCCACCCCCGATGCTGTTGCTGTTACACCTGTATGCAAAGAGCTTGGGAGCTCATCAGATTCCTCCTGCAGTATACACATTCTGATTCTGGCTCCTCTCCGCACATGGGAGGTCGCCCAGACCTCGCCCCCGATATCCGCAATTGTTATCGACTGGGTTTGGGCAGCCGTGTCGCTGTTGTTTACGAGTTAACGCCGAGTAAATGAAGTGGTCTAGAACGCTGCTGGTTGTAAGAGTTTCATTTAACCACTAAACTGTACCACTTGACCACGCGTACTCACCGGCTGTCGCCAGAGACGTGACGTCACGAAAAGCAGCGTGCGTGACGTCATCACGCACGTCGGTGACGCGCCCGAACGGGGTGACGTCACGCTCGAGACGCGTCGTCTAAATCTATTGCGGCCCACAGGCGGAATGCGACTTGAATGAAAGCACGGGTGTGGAGCACAGGGCGTGAGCTACGCGCGTAATTTATATATTTGGTTTGTTCCGCATAAGAGGACAGACCACAAACCGTGATGACCACGCCGCTGGCGTTATTACGAAACCACTTTTTTAAATGTACCATGTCCATTGTGAACGTCACTTCCGGAGTAGCGTCTTTTACCGGATTGATTTTTTTAAATAATTGCAAATAAACCTCCCGCGCCTGCAACCCCCCCACCCTGCGGCAATGATCTCGAGCCGCACGCTCGCTGCGGCTCACGATAAATGTTAAACCAAACAGAGAGAATCGCGCGCCTTTGCCACTGCGGAGTGACGTCACCAACCGGGCGGAGGTTTTTTTTTTGTCCATTTCGAGCTCGCTAATTACAAGTAAATGCAGCGCCAAGGGCGGCCCGCGTGGGATCAAGGCAGTGGGCAGCGCCTCTCACGATCACACGCGGGGTTACTTCCACGTGAAACCGATCAAGGGGATGCAATGGGACCGCACTGGTGACGTCACGCGAGAAGTGACGTCACTACGCTTACAAAACTCAGCATCGATTTTAAAAACACAACTTAAAGCAATAATCAACGCGTCCGCTCCGATTGATCTGAGTGTATCAATATTCAAATCCCGCGTTTGAAAACAAAGTCGCGAGAAAATGAGCCGAGGACCGTGACGGAGGTTGACACACCCATGTGACGTCACCATTATTTTTTACTTCCCCTAGATAAAAATAAATGTTTCCGATTAACAAAAACTCAACTCTCTCAAAAACTAAACTGCAAAACCGACGTAATCATGACACATTAAAAATATATATACGATTTATATATAATTTTGCACCGGACGTGACGTCAATCCGCGAACGCGCTTGATTCGCGTCGCCGCCCCCGCGTCTCAGGACCCCCAGCGCATGCGCAGTGGCGCGTAACGGCCGTGAAGGGGGAGGTGCCGGAGCGGGAATGGGCGGGGCTATCGCAGGAAGGGGGAGGAGCAGGCCCAGAAATGGGCGGAGCTACAGCAAAAAAGGGCGTGGCCGTGGCACGAGGGGGAGGGGCTTGCGGGGAAGGGGCGTGGCCGGCGAGGAGGGCGACAGCGTCGGGAGTTGCTCGTCCTTCCCGCTCTTCCCACTCCACGGAGACGGAGGCCGCGACCCCGGCACCGGGCTCAGGGAGCCGCGCTCCGCTCGCACCGCTGGTGAGGCCCACGCCGCTGTTTTGCCGCTCTCCCCCGCTCTCTGTGAGCGACGAGAAGGCGACGCGTCGCCCGCGCTCGGCGGTGCCAAGGGTGGAGGCTCCGCGGCGCTGGCCCTCGCTGTATGGAGGCGGCTGGGCAGGGCAGGGCCGGGGCCCTGTAGTCATCATCATCACCACCACTACCACCTCCATAATCATCGTTATTAAGCCCTTTATAACAATGACTTTTAAACTGTTAACAGGTGATTGTGAACGTGATTAGCCGGTGAAGACAAGTATTAAGCGATCGTAAAATGTTCCATAATGTTGTAATTGGACCCGATCAGGCGGCGAGGATGTTGAAACCGGCACAATCGTTTGGCAATTCTAATTGCGGCTTACGGTTGTTCAGCGTCATTAATGGGTGATAAGAGAAAGCTTCGCGTCTCAACCATGATACCTCGGTAACAGGAAAAGCATCGTCGGCGATGGGGTTCGCCTCGTCTCGGCGTCTTTACGCCGAGCGTACAGAACTGTTATAAATGATGCATCTCATTAACGTCGTCAAATATCGAGGCCACACCGAGTCATCGCGTATCAACATTAATAATTGCAATTGGACGTTATAATTCGCATCGTCAGAAGGTGAGAAAAGCGTGTGTCACGTTTCGTGGGTTGACACGTGTAATTTATGGTATTATAAGTAACGTCATCGGCCCTTGTGGAGAGCCGTAATCGAACTATAATTGTAATGAACCGAGTTAACGTCATTTGTGATGTAGAGATAGAGAGGGCGCTTGCGTTTTGTCAATTAACACTCATGATTATAAATAACATCAAGGTCATCAGACTGAGAATAGGCACTGTGTCATGAATTTGCACTTGCAATTACACAATTATAAATATCGTGGGGTGGCAAGGGTCTTCTCGTGTTTTCTTAATGTCTTCAGACGGAAAAGACAGGGCAACACGTCTCATTCATACATTCTAAATAAAGACCCTTTATTTAGAATGTATGAATAATTGTTATCATGAAGCATGAGCAATATTAATCAACAGGGTGGTAAGGTGAGGCTCCTTGTAATCACCTCAATTAAAATGTACAATTATATGAATAACATCAGACAGTAAGAATAAGTCCATGACTTCTCACAAAGAAATATAAAAAATTACATCAATACCGCATTGTACATTAAAAAATCGTTATTGACAATGAACAATGTTATCGATATACTTGTTCGCAGACGGTGACTTCGCCACCATGGGCAAGTTCCTGTCCAAGGTGTTCGGCAATAAGGAGATGCGCATCCTCATGCTGGGGCTGGACGCCGCGGGCAAGACCACGATCCTCTACAAGCTCAAGCTCGGCCAGCCCGTCACCACCATCCCCACCGTGGGCTTCAACGTGGAGACGGTCACCTACAAGAACGTGCGCTTTAACGTGTGGGACGTGGGCGGGCAGGACAAGATCCGCCCGCTCTGGCGGCACTACTACACGGGCACGCAGGGCCTCATCTTCGTGGTGGACTGCGCCGACCGGGACCGCGTCGACGAGGCTCGGCAGGAGCTGCACCGCATCATCAACGACCGCGAGATGCGCGACGCCATCATCCTGGTGTTCGCCAACAAGCAGGACCTGCCCGACGCCATGAAGCCGCACGAGGTGCAGGAGAAGCTGGGCCTCACGAGGGTGCGCGACCGCAACTGGTACGTGCAGCCGGCGTGCGCCTCCACGGGCGACGGCCTCTACGAAGGCCTCACGTGGCTCACGTCCAACTACAAGTCCTAGCCGGTGGCCCCAGTGACGGGGAGGTGGCAGTGGAGGACGGAGGTTACGGAGATGAAGGCTCCTCCCAGCTGGCCATGCCCTCGTGGGGCAAGGGGGACTGTGGTTTGGTGTTGGCACTGCCTGACACGTTCATAGTTATTGGGGGGGGGGGTGCGGATGGAGGGGGGGGGTAGGGGCGCGAAGGTGATGAGGAAGGGGGATTAATGGCACACTGAGCTAGCTAGCTTTTTTATTGGTCAGAGGTGGTTTAGTTTCTTTAAAAGGTTTATATAGTGCGTTCAAGTGAGAGAATGTGAGTTTGTGTGCGCGTGGCGTGCCGATTGTGCGCGATTACATGTTCAAGCGCCAATTCTACCGTTCTCTGAGGCTACCGGCCATCGGTGAGGCTTCATAACGGTGGGGGACATGGTGGCGTCCAGCCACTGCATGCAGGGGTGGGTATACACTTGCCTCTGTGGTACCACCCACACTGTCGCCACAGCCTGCCGGCGTGGTACCAACCTTCAATTCCACCAGCCGGCCGGTGTGGTGCTACTCTCATCACCTGCTGGCGTGGTGCCACTCGCACTGAAATCACATTCTGCTGGTGTAGTGTCGCCCACACTGAAGCCGATGCCAGCTCATGCGGTGTCTCCCTCGCCAAAGTCACCGGCTGGCGGTGGCGGTGGAATCCAGTTCCGGCCCAGCAGCAGCTGTGCCGTACTGTCTCGATGCTCCCATGAACCAGGAGTCGAGGGAGGGCAGCATGGACTGATTGATAGATGATGACCACTGTTGAGAAGCAGCCGCCTCGAAGTATTAAAAACGCCGTCTAGCCGCATCTGGATGAAGATCAAAAATAAAGAATGGACTAAATTTGTAAAATAGGCTATTTTTCTATATATCTTCTCTGGATTTCGTGTATTTGATCATAAGATGATCGCTTTAGAATGTATTTTACCTGCCCGCCCGCGCACCCCCTCCTTCCCCCCCCAATCCGCCCCACATCATCCTCGCCCTACTTGTAATGCATTGTGAAATGTTTAACCAAAACAATGTAAACGTATTTACGCAGATGTGCTATGATCCATGACACAGGGTTTGGCGATACCGTATTTGGGCATGTCGGACATATCAGTTTCGATTCAATTTTATATATCGGTGATGCTCTTATTAAGACACGCGGTCTCATCTCATTCGTTTCTTTTGTTGTACATACATTAACTATGCAGCCTTTTCAGGGTACGGATGTAGTGTTAGCTTTGGGGAATTTAACGCTATTTTATTTCTTCCAGCCATTCCACGTATATAAGTGCACAAAGTATGAACCACATAATGATTTTTTCTCAAATAAATTACTCAGAGCAGTGATATTCCACGGAAACGCTAACTTCTTTGGGAGCCTGTCTTTTAATTGTAGACATTTTAATTCAATTAAATGTGTAGAGTTTATTTTGTGTTTAACATCTGCTTTTTCTTTAAACAATAAATGGAAGTTAGTGTAAAGAAGTTAGTGTTTTTGTGGAGGTTTTCATTGCACTGGAAGCATAATAGCACCTGACATGTGCTGCACCATGGCTGAAATCACACCACGTAGTTTTTTTTACAGGTGAAGAAGGCATGCTATAAAATTAACATGCAGTTTGCTGCCTGCTGAAAAGACCCAACAAACACCATTGCTTACTGGATAGCACTGATATCGGTAACATTGGTGCATCAAGAGGTTTTATTATAATCTTAACAACTGAGAAAGTAAACTATTGTTGATTGTAAAATATAAAATTGCATTTTTAATTTCAAGACCAAACATCTAACAATTGATTTTTTTTCCGGCAGAAAATAGCGAGTGACGTAATTTATACTTGCTAGGTTTAATTGTGAGCTATGGGAAGTGGTGCAACCGGTGTGTTGACAACAGAAGACTCTTTGTTTACTTGAAGCTGCCTGAAGCAGCAGTCCCCAACACCAGTCTGCACAACCCGTGCTCCCGTGCCCCCCCCCCCCCCCCCGGCAGGCCCCAGGTAGCGTCGCTGACCATGGCAGTGGGCTCGAGTCCGGTCACTGGCAACGTAGGAAGCTGGGCCGTGCCGACTGTAGTTGATGATAGCTGCAGGAGAATAGCATCTTGCGCGCGTGTGGTTTGCCCGGCTCTGGTGGCTTTTTGCTTGCGCGGCACTCGGGCTTGGCGGTGTAGGTGACAGCAGCTGCTCCGGGCATCGAGCCATCTTGCTTTTGCGGTGCCGTTGACAATTTTTGTGTGTGTGTGGAGAATAAGTCTTCAAGCTGCACACACACAGTACATGCACTCCTGCTCGATTTGCTGGCGGCGTGGATTTCTTAATTAACTGGTAGCCGCTTTTGCGCCTGCGTTGACGCCGATGGATTATTAGGGTGCACGTGCATGTAGGTCCACCGGACAATCTGTCATCGTGCATAATCCTGAAACACAGATGCTTATCGGATGTGAGGCTGAGCAAAGATGCACGCGGATTTAACAGGTAGTGGGGGCTTTGGGATAATTTATACTACTGTTCATTAAAAGCTATTTCAATGTGGTTTGTTTTATTTCAGTAAAAATTTTAACCATGGCTGACAGGTCTCGTGTCCAATATGTGAGGGTGGTGCTACGTGCAACGCGTGTTGTTAGGTGCAAACGTGGCCTCGTGCGTGAGGGGCTTTGAGATGCGTTCAACACAAGGGCCCACTGTCCACGGATGCAGAAGATGGGTGCTGCACATTTGAAAGCCTCTGTCACTGATGGGAGCCCAACTTAAATACTGCCCTTTCATGTCCTCCCTTCTGGATTCACGGGGTCACAAACAAGACCACCTAATCTATTCTGACGTAGATTCTGGTGCATTATTTACAACAACTTAAATCATATTTTAAGGTGTGGGTCCATTTGTCTGTTAACACAGCCTTTTTTTTTCTTCTTCCTAGTTGCTTACAAAAGAGTTTGTTAAGCCAGGGAAAGAATTAACTGCGGCACGCCAACCGTAAATAATTAATTGCATGAGGAAAATGCAGCTGACGTTTTGCTTATTTTGTAGAAGCTGGCTCGGTGGTACGTAACATGTGGACAAACTGGGGTGGCTTTTTAGTTACAAAATTACGGTGATGTGTGTAAATGCATTTGAACAACACTGAAGGGTGGTGGTCATAACAATTTGGGAATGAAGTACTGAAACAATTTCACGCATTTGACACGAGCAGTTTAAAAAGTAGAGTCGTGAGTGAGATCCCATGCGAGGCTCAGGTAATGAATGTGAGTGACTGCCATTGATCTATTTGCTTCCAGTGTTGTTAGGTCAGCACAGAATGTCAATGTCTAAACGGTGTTTAATTACAATGTGTACTTGGATCCACATTTCCAGAAAGAGCTCGACTTCCCAAATGCTCGTAAATGTACCACCATTGTACCTGTGTCCCGTATTTGGTCAGCTGCACGTATCATCCCCCTACACTTGTAATGTATGCAATATATAAGTGGTGTGTACGTAGAACTCATTGTTTAATTCAGGAAAAGCCTCACCACACATTACACATGTAGTTTATACAGTATGCACAGTATGAATATTACACGACTAAAGCGCAAATAGATTTTTTTCAGAAAGCAGTTAACTGGCCAAAATGTTATTTTTTGGTTCTTTAAAATCCATTTCAAGTAACTGTTTTGACGCGATCACAGTTTCGAGTTGCGTCCGTGCTGTAGCATCGCGAAATGGATCTTTTTGCAAAATGGAAATTGCAAAATGGGCAAGACTTGTCGGTCCTGTCATTCTGCTGTGACCCGATCATCGAGTCTTCAGGATGACTCTAGGACGTGAAAGTGAAGCTCAGTTAAAAATAGCATCGTGTTTCTGGTGTGTGTGTAGCTACGTTTATAGGCGTGCCCTGGTTTCCTGCAGCTCACGGCGACAATTAGGTCGAAAGTGCTGGCGGCAGCTCCGTGTGTGTGTTTCACATTTCAGGGGCACCGCAGTGGAACTTGCGCCACCGTGACACATTTGCATCCTGTGTTTAGTGGCTATTGCATTAACAAATAGGCGTACGTCATTAACCTGCGTCGTGGTGTTATGAGAGAACAACAAAAATAGACCGTGCAATTTTTGTGATTTAAACATAAATTGTTGCAGGAGACTTTTATCTCATGATGTGAGATAAATAGGGTTATTGTTGGGTAGTCTGGTTCTTTCCAAGATGTAACATTTGAAGAAGGAATTGGCAAAATATCCAATGAAGCATACTCAAAAGTATCAAGTTGAGGTTTTCTGGATACAAAAAAAGGTCAATCGTTACTGTAAGGCATATTTTCCAATTTAATGACATTTATCTGAAAAGGGACTTCAAATCTTTTTTTTTTTACAATTAAACTTTAGCCTGGTAAGTCTCCCATTAAATTGTTGTCCTGGTTACCCATGACCGGATGGCTCATGCTGACTAACCTCTATAGTGCACCATTTGTCTATTTGCACGTGAAGGAAACACTTTAGACTGCATTATTTTTTCACCGCAGTGCCGTGCAGCTGAATCTGCTTGCATGCGCTCTTCAGCGCGTGCCACGTCAACCAAAGGGATGCTGAGCATTGCAAGGGAATGACGAGACAATACAACACATTTACCATGGGGGAATATAATTAAGTAGCACACCAACGGAATATTGCTTGGAAATCCATAGGATAAAATAAATACGTGGTTGGTGCACCGCCTTTTCATACAAATATTGTAACGTCAATTTATATTCCCAAATTTATATTCAAAGAAGACACTAAGATTTCACCTGGTTATGAATAAATGTTAATGAGCCATTTTCCACTGCCAGATGAAGGCCTCCTGTGTCACAATCCCAAGTTTTGTGCACGTGAGCTATCATCTCCGCGGTATGCGTCATCTCGGGCACGCGGTCTTCTTTGGCTCACATTCCATTGTCAGTCTCGACCACCGGCCGTCTTCCCTTGTGCGAAGTTCCCACTGCTAATCGACCACATGATGCGTGCAGTTCGTGCTCTTTAATCCAAGCCTGCTTTCTGTCCCGGCCGATTGCCAAGCATTCACCTTTCAATACTTATTTGTGCATTTTCCACCTTGGCATTTTCTTTACCAGTACCCATCTTGAGACATCTAAAGTGAAAGGGCTAAAGATTCTCACAATTGTATTCGCTGTAACAATGTCTCCAGCTGGCAGAGTTGGCGCGCCGGGTCTGCGATGGTTCCGTGTGGTTTCTGCCCACGGCGCAAAGGTGCCGATTAAAAGTCCTGGCCAGGGCGGATCGTGTCGGACGCGCTCCGTCGTGATGAGACAACGCGCACGTTCGCTCGCTCGCTCACCAGCGATGCCACTGCGCAACCGGCGGCTGAGCTTACGACACCTCGCATCCCCCCGGGGTGGTGGTGGACGCGTGGCGTCACGTCGCTGCACTGCGGGGAACTCTCCATCCCGGCCATCCCAGGCAGGCTCTCAACTCGTGCCAATAACGACGGCGCCTGCCTTCCGTGGCGAGCGCAGTGCAATTTGGCTTTGCCGTGCTATGGCAGCAGCGTGTCGCAGATTACTCGGGCTTTTATGAGCGGCCGTGTATACGATGCGTCGTAAATAAAACATGTGGGTGTTTTAACTTTGTCTTAAATGCTTCAGGGTGGGTCACGCGAGAGGCAACTTAAGTGACATTTGCAAAACAATGTCACGATTCTCAGACTTAAGTAAGCTGCGGCATCTGCAGCTGAAGAACATCGGTGACTGAGTACCACCGATTCTTGTTTTCTTATCGTTTAGATTGTTCTGATGAGCTCCGCACAATGCTTTCCTGTGAGATAGGCTGTGAATCACCGTGTGTATACAGTGAGTTACAGTGTATGCAGTGAGATTAGGGACATTTACTTGTGAGTCGTTGTAAGATCGCCCACTCTTCTGTTTTGAGTGGAGACAAATAATTAGTGAAGCGGTGTATTGTCCCACGTGCTTATGCTGTTCTAGACAATTCCCAGGGTGTTTGTGGAGGTCATGCAATGAGGGATGACGCTAAAGGTATTGCTTGCGGAGTCACAACGGTCAAGGAGAACACATTAAAATGACACCCGTGCTGTGAAGATGACGGGTTAACGTCAATCACTAAAAGTTATTTCTTAAAAAGTGGCCCTATATCCCAAGCAGAAGCCTTCTGAAAAAGAGACTTGACTTACGTATTTATTTTCATTCGAAGAAAATACATTTATTGAACGCAAGTGTTCTCGTAAATAAGTTTTTTTTAATGTGCCATTCATTGTTTTTTTTTGCCTGCAATGGCTCACTGGGATGTGTAATGTTTCATCATCGGTGGACCGTTCTGTTTGAACAGTGGGCAACAAATGAGGGTCATCTGGTGAAGGGCGCTTGGGCTGTGGCGAAATATGTCTCGAAGAGGCCAGCAACACCACCGGGCTGCCAGCAGCCACATCCCTGATGGGCCCAACCCAGCTGCCTGTGGTCACGTGGACCCCCCCCCACACACACTGGCTCAGCACCGAGTGGTGCTCAGTTCCTGGATTTCGGGGCGTTGTTCAGTGAGCTTACCATGCAGACGTGTAGGGCGTTGTTCAGTGAGCTTACTACACAGGCTTGCAGGGTGTTGTTCAGTGAGCTTACTACGCAGCCTTGCAGGGTGTTGTTCAGTGAACTTACTACGCAGGCTTGTAGGGCGTTGTTCAGTGAGCTTACTACACAGGCTTGCAGGGTGTTGTTCAGTGAGCTTACTACGCAGCCTTGCAGGGTGTTGTTCAGTGAACTTACTACGCAGGCTTGCAGGGTGTTGTTCAGTGAGCTTACTACGCAGGCTTGTATGGTGTTGTTCAGTGAACTTACTACGCAGGCTTGTAGGGCGTTGTTCAGTGAGCTTACTACGCAGGCTTGCAGGGTGTTGTTCAGTGAGCTTACTACGCAAGCTTGTAGGGTGTTGTTCAGTGAGCTTACTACACAGGCTTGTAGGGCGTTGTTCAGTGAGCTTACTACGCAGGCTTGTATGGTGTTGTTCAGTGAGCTTACTACACAGGCTTGTAGGGCGTTGTTCAGTGAGCTTACTACACAGGCTTGCAGGGTGTTGTTCAGTGAGCTTACTACGCAGGCTTGTATGGTGTTGTTCAGTGAGCTTACTACACAGGCTTGTAGGGCGTTGTTCAGTGAGCTTACTACACAGGCTTGCAGGGTGTTGTTCAGTGAACTTACTACGCAGGCTTGTAGGGTGTTGTTCAGTGAGCTTACTACGCAGGCTTGTAGGGCGTTGTTCAGTGAGCTTACTACACAGGCTTGTAGGGTGTTGTTCAGTGAGCTTACTACGCAGGCTTGCGGGGCGCTGTTCAGTGAGCTTACTACGCAGGCTTGTAGGGTGTTGTTCAGTGAGCTTACTACGCAGGCTTGTAGGGTGTTGTTCAGTGAGCTTACTACGCAGGCTTGTAGGGTGTTGTTCAGTGAGCTTACTACGCAGGCTTGCAGGGTGTTGTTCAGTGAACTTACTACACAGGCTTGCAGGGTGTTGTTCAGTGAACTTACTACGCAGGCTTGTAGGGTGTTGTTCAGTGAACTTACTACGCAGGCTTGCAGGGTGTTGTTCAGTGAGCTTACTACGCAGGCTTGCAAGGGGGTTTCCCCACGAAGCTTAATTAATAAATTAGAACAAAATCCGGCACGTAACACCGCCTGAATAAAAACTATAAAAATAGGCGACGTTTCGGGCAATGACTCGTCTTCACAGTCCTCGGAGAGAGGCCGGAGAGGCAGAGTCGCCAAGTAATGAATTCTCGCAACGCTGAGTGCACGCTGGTGACCCTGTGTTGGACGCCCGGGAGACGATGTCACTCGCGCGCGTCATTTGCCTCGTTCACAGCGGGTGTTGCAGCACAAATAACTCACCACAGAGGTGAATTAAGTACACGCAGGAATAGTTGAACAAGATGGGGTTTTTTTTGTTTGTGCGATTGTTGATTACGTTGAGTCGATCGCGTCATCACGATACTTGAGAACGTGGTTGAACAGAGGGGCGCGTGTCTGAAAACTGGACTTAGACCTCCCAGGATCTTGGTGGTACTGGTTCAGTGTTCTGACAGTGCGTTAGCGAGGCATGAAGTCATTTCCCCCCGCTTGCATCACGGGCTCACTCACGGGTTATATTTAAGCATCAATTCTATTTGTTTCAATTGTGGTGAATGTAGCACCTCCCGTGGCTGCAGGAGTCATTTGAAACTATCATACAACACAAAAACATTGTTACATGCATGAGGCAATGCATGTATTGGAAGTGTAGGAATAGATTTTAAAAAAATGTTTATTCATTGTTACGTGGCTGGTATTAGCCACCTGAATCACCGACACGATTCTCAATTGTAACGCATCTCAGTTAAGTCTCTGACTTGTGTGTTCTCTCACCACTGCCTGTGATTGCCAAAGCCATGGTTGTGGAGAGAGTGCAATGGTGAGCAGTTGGCGGTGTGCAAGAGAAACCTTTCGTGCGGGAGTCCCTGAAACAATAAGGGAGGGCGACGGTTTTTGTTTGGGACGTGATGCGACGAGAGGGCTTGGTGATTTTGTGCATCGCTCGTAAGGTTGAGGGTAGAGACGAGGAAGTTGAATGTCTGGGCGACACAACCGAAAGTGTTTTGTTTCACGAGGACGGACAGAGTGCGGCACGTCACAGGAAGCAAGGGACGGGAAGAGGTGCACATCCAAGACTGTGGATCCCCTGCACTGGGGATGACTCGCGACCGCCGAGCCGCCCAACTTTTCAAGGGGTCGTTGCAGCTCGTGTTCATCCCACCGCGGTCGATTGCAATCGGCACCGCTGTGTGTAACGTCAGCAGTGGTTGTTTTCCTCGGGGGAGACCGCTCGCCACAGCGTGGGAATGTGGCTTTGGGGATGCCAGTGGATAGGAGTGATACCCCCGATTGCTCCTTTGAGCAGTGAGACACGGGGGTCACGGGAGTTCTCAACGCGGACTGGTGAAAGTAGGGGTGCAGAAGTACAGCATAACGGTGGCTTGTTCTCGACTACCATCTGATGTCAACAGGACCTATAGCACCTGCTTTATCCACCAGTGGTTGACCCATGCAAGCGCTATCCAGGTTCAAGCTTGCTTACCCTTCCGAGTCGATTTGATCAAACCCGCAACTGTGGCTATACAGAAGCAGGTGAGATATGTAGCCCTGCGTGCGCCGAACAAAAAATGTAATGTGTATCCCACAAGCAAACCATAACAGTGCTTGTACTTTTAATGCATTATGCATAAAACCATTATGTTTAAACAAACTATCAGTGTTGCCTCTGTGCAACTCCATTTTTAGGACACTAAAATATTAAATTTACATTATTCTGTCCGTATTATTTCCGGGATAAGGAGGCAGAGTGATATCAATCGGTGCATTGATATAGTGTCGGTGATATTCCCTTCAGATGTGTTTTTCATTGGTGTTTTTTCAATGTGGATCAAAGGCTGGAAACTCCTTTGCAGAAGTAAAATTTCTGGAGAACGCGGTGACATTCCTGTCCCGGAATGATTGATTCTAGTTTGTGTTGAATCGGCAGTTTTCATTATAATTTTTCTTTATATTCACAATTACGGGAACAAGTTCCGTGGCTCGGAGGGCTTACAGCTTGGTCGCGAAAGTAGCGTACGAACGCACCCAACCTCGAGCTCATTTTTCACGCGTGCAGATAATGCAAAATCGGGCTGATTGCCACCAATTGTCAACAAATTACGTCAAACTGTAATTGCAGGAGAAATAAAACGCAGGCGTGCAGTGAATAAAACATCGGTTAATTATAGCGCAATTACCCAAAGCCAGTTAAGTAGAGAGGACTGTATGCACAGTGTGTCTTCAAGGTCACGTGCATGCGCTGCTCGCTTACAAGAGCGCTTATTTACCGAATACCAGAGCCTCTTCGCTCTCTCGTCATGACATTACTATATGTTACTATATATAGTAACGTTACGACGTTACTATATAAATATGTTAACGCGCCCTATGCATTCAAACCGGGACCCGAGGTTGACTTGTCACAGCCGTATACTGTTTATGACATACCAAAGGCGTTCCTGGAATTACATTGAGAGAAAGTGGAGCACTTGGGTTGGAGAAAATACGTAGGATATTGACATCGTTCTAACTGTTAGGGAAAGTGGGTACGCTTGGGTAAGAATAGTGACGGAGTGGCAGCCAAGGAATGAAACGCGTCCGAGAGCACGTCCACAGAGGAGATGGAGCAATGGTATCAAGTGCAGCTGCTGGACGGATTGTTACATCGCAGAAAAAGATATGTAATTGCCCTTAAAAATGTATCAATTCACTCCCTGAATTTCCACAGTTCGAGGCCGCAATTTAATTGAAGACTGAAATATTGCGGCGAATGTTTCCCCTCTTTATTGCTGTTGGATTTCTATGAATCCCCAAAAATGCGGGTGATCCCTTGGGTACGCCATTTGCCCGCCCAATGCGTGCACGCATATACTTGCCCCGCAGCTTCATGTACGTTGCAATATATGCACGCGAACGTGCTTAAACGCCACGAAATGGCACGACCGCTCCCTTGCATTGGCAAGCGCGCGAGGGACGATGGGACTGTGGGGAGCCTCTGTGGCTTCACGCCGACTGCACGCCGCGGTAACAACTCGCGCCGATCCGTCTGAGGGGGGCCTCTGGGGACGAATAATGACGCTGCTGCTGCTGCTTCACGGCACGGAGCCTCTGCTGCACACATCGGGGATCGCCACCCTGGGGTCGGTCGCGTCAGACAACCTGCAGAAATTTCGATTTAAAGCTTTCGTGACTGTAGGGATTCATCTTCTTGGTTCTTTCGTGACTTTACCGAAAGAACCAAGAAGATGAACCTGCAGAAACTTGAGCGTCGTCCTGCGGGTGTTTTACGCAAACGGTCACTGAGCTCCAAAACTGGGATTTAAAAGATGCAGGTTCTCCGAGCGAATGTGATGGACCGATGCTGGTCACCAATACCTCGCAAAAAATCCCATTGTGTACATTTGGTTACATTATGTAATACGTTCACACGAATCCCTGAGACGCTACATTCACCACAGTATTTTAAATGATGAGATGTTTTTATTAAATTGTCACCTCCAGTTGTGATGAGGTTATGAAGGAGCACTGCCTCAGTAGAACCATCACCATTGGAGAGAGAACAGTGGGAGCTGCCAAAATGAGCCTTGGTTTGCAATGTCTAAACTACACTAAACTATTTTACGAGGTACAGCCCACTGAGCTAGTAGCTCGTTTTCAGAGGCGACCTGGTAACACGTGATGATAGCTCATCGCAGTGGCTGATTTCATGCCTGAGAATTTATAGCGGCAGCCAAATAATCTAAAGTCATGTATGTAAATGTTGAGGGCAAAACCAGAGGAACCCCAGGTAGAGATCACGCAGACTCCAAACACAGGTATACAGACTCACGTAGGTAAAAATAAATAATAAAAAGAAATAATAGAAATAATAATAGAAATAAAATTACAAATCACGATGTTTCGGAGGCAACACAAGCTTCCGTCTTCAGGTGAAACCGTCACAACACAATTGCTGTATCAAGTGAAGAGAAGTCCCAAGAGACCCGACCTTATATATACTGGTTAAGGGGGGAGGAGCCAGGATGGGCCACGGGAGAGGAGTTGTTGTGAGATGGTCAGTCCGGCTGCTGGGACTGAGCCTTTGTAATGTAGATGGCAGAAGTAGATAAGCAAGCTAGGATTAAGCCGCCTTTTGTTATGCTGCAGGTATACAGGCTTCAGCATTGTAATCAAACCCATTGTCTGGAGGGCAGTGGCTGTGACTGTGAGCCAGGCTACAAGCCAACTTCAGTGGCGAGTGAGATGCGAACCTCTCCTGGGCTTCCCCCTTCAACCCACAATACCCACGCGATGTGGGGAGGTCTTCATCCAGCAGTGGATTGAAGTAGGCCTATGCATATAAGCCTATGCGTTACCACCCGTGGACGTGTTTAGCAGCTGTTCTCATTCGACGGCCGACCCGTCCCGGCATCCCTGCTCCGGTTCACCGCTCGCGTGCGAGCCCTCCCCGCAGTCGCGAATGCGCAAGTAGCGCACGTCGCGCAGCACCCTCGCCCAGTCGCCCTGCTCCGGTGCCGCCTCGCCGGCCCCCTCGCCGTGCCGACCGCGGCCCCAGAGCGGCGGCAGCCTCGTCCGCTCCGTGATGCGCTCCCTCCTCCGCCGGGCCCGCTCCGCCTTGCGGGCGCGCGCCGCCTCGTCGCGCCGCGCCCGCACGCCCGTGCGAGGCCCCGACGGCGCGCTGGCGCGGGTGGCGGGTGAGCGGCCGCGACGCTGGCGGCTGCGGTGGCGGCAGGGAAACGCCAACGGGAGCTCCTCTCGTTCATCGACCGCACGAAGTTCGTCGCCGCCCGTGTACGTTGGCACCATTTCCTCAAGGTCTGCTTGGGCGATGCGGCGATAGCCGTGCTGGAGCCGGGCATGGCGGCGGTTACCACAGTGGTGGACACGGTGGTGGTCGTCGCATTGGTGATCGTGTTTCGTGTCACTGTCTTTGCTCCCAGTTGACGTATGTTTGTCCTCTAAGCAGTCAGACCTTTGAGTTTGTTCATCACCATTGTGATTAACAGTGGAGCCATTCAGGCAAGACAGGCTGGATGTTTCCCCGTGAGGCGATGGCAGTGACAACTTAGTGAGTGGCTGGCTCTGGGAGGCCAAACGATGCTGTGAATAATGATGAGGATAACGGTGATTGTGTCGATGAGGAGCTCCGTGATCTGAGCGGAGTGCAGACTCACACGAAACACCGGGTGCACAAACAGCAGAGCTATTCGTGTCACTCGCACCTACGACTTCGCCCGGCACGAGCGAGGATCTCTCCGCTCGGCCTCGCGGCACCGGAGACCGCGTGGTGGCGGTGACAGCGGTGGCGGCGGCGGCAACAGCGGCGGCGACGGGACCGGCCAGGGTGGCGGCCGTGGAGCGGCTCTCGGCGATGGTCGCCAGCAGTCGACGTTCGGCGTCCACGCGGCGATCAAGCTCCCGGACGCAGTGGACGCGCTGCTGCTCCAGCTGCCGCAGCAGGCGGTCGCGCGCAACCCGCTGAGCCCGTTGCAGGTGCCCGGCACCCGTGGCACGCACGGTGCCCTGCATGCCAAGCTTCTCGTTTCCCCGTGCCGGGGGTGCGGTGCCTGTGAATTGTGGAATGAGCACGAATAAAACACGGGGGCGGTTGTAGGGTTGCAACCTTTTCCCACTGTAGACCAAACCCGGACCCATTTTTCATTCAAGCCTCGGTCTATGAAACCTGTGCAGTATTCTGCAATCACGTTCAAAGCAATACCGGTACCAGATCTCGGTACAAACCAAATCCCTGCCACCCGTACACAGATGCCAATTCCGGATAGGTGGAAACCCGAGAGGGCAGTTGGGAGTGTGATCGCGGATTCTCAACACTGGGACCGTGGCAGCTGGGCAAGCTCTGAGCGTGCACCACCGTCACGCCGGTTGGCCACGGAGTCGATGCTTCACTCGTTCCAGCTGCCTGATAATTATGCGGGAAATTATAAAAATATGCCGCCTGCTCAAAAGTGGATTTAAAAAATACTGCACACGGTGACTTCATCCGTTCACGACAGTAGGTCACACAGTGTACCCGGTTCATAGCCAGAAAAACAAACTGAAAAGGAAAAAGTACACGTCAGATGGGATTATAAAAAATTCATATATTTGCTTACGTAATTGTCGCTGCTCAGGTCTCCCGTGAAAAAGAGGCAGTCTCAAAGCGTTGTCAGCTGGTTAAGCGATGGACGTGCCGTGGGTTGCACGAGCCCGTGTGTACATAAGCACTGCGATGCAGCGTCAGCATCAGGTTCGTGACAACACAGACCGTCGTTAATGATAGAGGCATCAGGAACACTGTAATCCGGTGCGCGACACGCAGGTTTCACGCGTTTGAGAATCTCCAAATGTGACCTTTTGGCCACCGAGGCGGACGTGTACGACGCACAGTATTTCTCAAGGTCATTTAAAACCATTCACCTCTACGTGCATTTCCACTTTCTCCTGTAGTCACAAATGTGTGTTTACTAGATGCGCACTGTTTGCAATGCTCTACGTATAAACACCAGTCAAGCGCATAATATATCATCGATTTGATTAGCAAGGGCAATTAACCTGCAGTGGCTGCATTTACCGCTCTTGCAAGTGCGACGCCCCTGGCCGTGTTGTGTTTATGAATGAGATAGGACGCGAGGCGCAGTCCACTGACCTTGAGAGACGGGTAGATGGTGGTCACAGCATGCCGCTGTCACCACCACTGTACACGTGGAGACCACGGAGCAGTTTCCCTTGCAAGCAGAAGCCACTTTGCGCAGCTTGATTGCTCATAACATATTTATAACTACGCGATATGACGGCACAGCCAACACGTGCGTCATCATCATCGCCAATGTCATTTATTTCCTTATGTACATAATAAACCACTGGACACGTCGTAAATAAACAATCGTCATTCCGAACCAAGCGCAAGCCCCCAAATGTGAAGAAGGCCGACCGAGCTGCTGGCTGGAGCCCAGCCCCAGGTGAGGACGGCACCGCGTGACAGCTGCACGTGGTGGTGGTGACCCCGACCCTGCCTCTCTGTGTCCCCCCCCATGCCCGCGGCTAGCGAATCGCAGGCTCAGCAGCAACAGCAGCAGCATCCTGCAGGACACGGTGCGCACCTTGGCAGAGGCGTCCCCCCCCCGCCTCCCTCCTGCGGTGTCAGGGTCCCAGGCGGTGCGAGTGTCTGTCCGTGGCAGCCAAGTTGGGCCCCCTGCTCGCTTGGTGGCTCATGGCCACCAACAGAGCTGGGGCCACCGCCACACGCCCGTGTGGGCAGGGAGACAATTTTGACTTTTGAGGTTGCGTGCAATTGAAAGGACAATAGCTTCGGATATGCTAAAGTGCTGTAATTGTGGCGGTGCCTTTGGCGCTCCCTTGTTACCGTGGTCCAGTCCACAGCTGGCTTCTGTTTGCCACGGCGGATGGACTATGAGTGGCGTGCAATTATTCCCAGTCTCTCTCTTTGCCTCGTCCAAACACGCAATGTGGCACACTCTCTGATAAACAATTGGGCCGTTCTCTCCATGTTTCCCTCTCATCAGGTCAGGACGCTCCCCACTCAAACGAGGAGCTTGCAATTATTAAATTTTATGATGACAATATATCTAGCGCTTTATATTTCGCATTATTTATATATGAGATATCCATACCAAGGCAAGACGGAGAAAGCAACTAATTTCAGATGTGTGCTGCGTGTACTACGAGAACAGTGGGGGCGCAGGTGGTGCATCTGTCAATCAGCTCAGCCGACCCATAACACCTGGGTCTGCCACATTTACCTCCTCCCGGGGAGCTTTCCGACACTTGACGTGGCCTCACGGGGCACCTAGCCTGGCACAAGCGCCTTTGGCCACGTCACCGCCACTCAATGCTAAGCGGAAGTTGTTTTAAGTGTAGGAGAAAAGCGGAGCGCCTGGAGAAATCCCTTGCACTCAACTACACACAGGACAAGTGGCCAGTTGCGTAGAAACCTTCGATTGATGTGTTTCCTCTCAACCTCATCATCGGCCACGATCTTATCCACCGCTGGATGAAAGCCGCCCCAGAATCGCCCATCTCTCATGGTTCTGCCGCATGGCCAGAGTTTTTTTTTGGGGGGGGGGCACAGAGGGGGCAATGCCCCCTCCCCCTCAAACTGGCCACCTTTATTAATTTATTTTCAGTAGTTTACAATAAGATTCAAAATTAACTAATAATATGCACCCGCGATTCCTAATGTGAGGGACAAAACGAACCCTTGCCTCCCAAATACAGAAGTCAAACCCCGCATGTCGTCCCGCGATGTAACAATCCATCTTATGTCCGCGCAACAGCGGATTTGATCGCTCCATTTCTGCACGAGATCGGTGTCGTTCCCTCCTTTGACTGCCGCCACTTTAGTCTCGACCACCGGTCATCATCCCCATTAGCCGTGCCTTGTCCTGCCCAATCCTCCTTTTCCTAACAGTCAATCTGATCTCCTCCTTAACTGGCGCGTGTTCTCTTAATACACGTGTTCCTCTGTCTGCCTGGGCACGATCCAGCGACCCTGTTTGAAGTGGATGACACGCGTACCCCACCCACCAGGTGAGTCATTCATCAGCCTGCTTGGGCCTTCTTTCAGATTCGTGGTCCCCGCCTCCATGTGTTTGATTGATTACAGCTTTCAGTTTTCTGCCAATAATTTCCAATTTGGGGGAGAGCACAGGTGCAGTGGTTAGCACACAGCACGACGAACCAGGCGACTCGAGTTTTGATTCCCCTCCACAGCTAACATCTGTGGTGAGTGATGACTATAGGGAACCTGGGCCTCCCTTCGCCAACCCACAATGAACATTGTGGTGAAGTATGGTCAAACACTCCCCATGGCCGACACATGGTGAAGGAGCCTGCGTCTAGCAATTCATTGACAGGACTGTTATTCTACATTTCCAATTGTGCTATTGGCATAGTTTTAAGAAAGACACAGGCGCAGCCCTGCAATTCCTTGCTCAACGGCACTGCTGTCGGAAGGGCCTCCATTCAGAGGAGTTCCAGAGATCCCCTCTCAAGAGGCATTCCGGCCTTCCTGTCGCACAGGACGGGTATCTAGGAAGAAGTGGTTTAGTACCCACACAGTAAACCCAGATGTAAACTAGCATAAGCAATGTAACCTCGTGGCTACCGAATGCACTTCTGAACTTATAATAGCTTACTGCAACAGAGTGACACAGTAGAGTATGTATGTGATGCATGCACGTGGGCAGTATGAGACGTACAATGCTGTATGTGTATCAATGCATTACCTGGGCGTCTTCAGCCTACTAGTGGATGTGTCACTTGCTATGCCGTATATAGAGTAACATAGTAATACATCACTTACCACACAGGTGTAGGGTGGCGTTCTTCTTTGGCGAATGAAGAGATTCAAATGGCAAACATCCTAACAAAATGTTGTGCTTTTTCCCTAATGTTTGTAAATCACTAATCTGTTAAACACATTAAAGCTATGTATTTATAACGAATCCAGTTAATGTCTCCTACCTCTCAGATATATATGTCCATCTGTTCTGTAAAAGCGACGCGGTTACATTTAGAAGACTTGTAAATCCAAGAGCATTGAGCTCCTGGCTTTCATTCACGGAGTCTTGGGCGTCTGTAACATTCTCATACACGCCTATGTAGTTTCTGAGCAATTCGGAATGCTATATATAACTACCTAGATGAGTTACACGAAGAGCCTTGGCAAACATAAAATAACCCACTCTTTAATAAACACCTCGAGTGCCTCTGGTCTCGCTCGGATGGACCCAGCACCACGTGAAGTGTGAAACCTCTCAATGCTCCTATTCAATGTGCACCCAATGTTACAGCTGGCCAACATGCCAGACAATTTACAAAGTGTACCCATCGGCTGGGTGTCTTGATAATGCAAAAGTCGTGCCAGGCCTGCACGGAACCCAGTGTCGGTTGGAGACGACTTTTCTGGGCCCTCATATTCGTGGGCTATCTTCAGACACTCAATTCATTTCACACTTGATAGAAATCGTAAAAACACATTCACCAGTAACATTGTCACGAAATAAGAATATTGTAGAGAAAATAGACGCTATGATGGGCCCCCTTAAGAGCATAGTAGTGGGCTGATTATTTGCCCATAATATGATTATATATATGAGAATACAATTATATATATGCACGGTTAATGTTTATGATTTGTGCTTATGCACCACTGCAATGCAGTCCTGATACCCAAATATAACTTGCCAAACATCTCAAACAGGAGCATACAAAAACATTCGGTGAGGGTTTACTGTGATTTTTTTTGCCAAAGTTATCCGGGTGTATAAATTATGGATTCAGTTTTTAATCATTCTCCTTTCCATTAGTTAAATAAATTAACATTTGTAAACCAAAGGGAAAACTGCAATGGAGGGTGGGAAGAATGTTTTTCGAAATGGCATCATCAGTTGTATTCGCCACCATGTTGAAGTCTGTAAATGTGTACATTGTGTAGATTGTGACACTGTTAGTGGGCACACTTTGTAAATGGTTACACGGTGTGTGTGTACACTGTGTTACACATCTACAACATGGGTAGATGTGTACACCGTGTAAATAGTGACACTGTTCGTGGGCATACTTTGTAAATGGTTACATGGTGTGTGTATACAGTGTTACACATCTACAACATGGGTAGATGTGTACACCGTGTAAATAGTGACACTGTTCGTGGGCATACTTTGTAAATGGTTACATGGTGTGTGTATACAGTGTTACACATCTACAATATGGGTAGATGTGTACACTGTGTAAATAGTGACACTGTTCGTGGGCATACTTTGTAAATGGTTACATGGTGTGTGTATACAGTGTTACACATCTACAATATGGGTAGATGTGTACACTGTGTAAATAGTGACACTGTTCGTGGGCATACTTTGTAAATGGTTACATGGTGTGTGTATACAGTGTTACACATCTACAACATGGGTAGATGTGTACACCGTGTAAATAGTGACACTGTTCGTGGGCATACTTTGTAAATGGTTACATGGTGTGTGTATACAGTGTTACACATCTACAATATGGGTAGATGTGTACACTGTGTAAATAGTGACACTGTTCGTGGGCATACTTTGTAAATGGTTACATGGTGTGTGTATACAGTGTTACACATCTACAATAT